TTTTTTAGAGAGTTGCCAAAAAAGGAAATTTTTAGGAAATTTGAGATTTGCGGGAAAGAGTTTTTTTTTTTTTTTTTTAATTTTAACTTATTATTTATTAATTAAATATTAAATATATAAAATTTTTAGTTTTCTTATAGTTTTTAAAAAATATGATAAATTAAATTCAAAAAAATTACAATATATGAACAAAAAGAAAAAAAAATAAACAATACTATTTATTTTAAATTATTTAAATAAAGAAATATTAAAAAAAATAAATTTATAAAATTATATCTTTTTTTATCTTGTGTAACAGAAGAAACAAATATTAGAATAGTAAAAGATAAATGAATACCAGTTTCTAGTTTTAACATATATAACATATGATTATTTAATAATATTTGCAACAAGTATATCTATAGAACAGATATTTTTAATTAGTAAAAATTTAATAACTAATACAAGAAATAGGTTATTAAATAAAACAGTTAGAGCATATATGTGTTTAAAATTATAGTGACAAGAAATTTTAGTAAATAATAATTAAATTCTATTTTTATATTATATAATTTTACTAGTATTGTATATTTACAATAATTGTTTTTTTAACAATAAAGTATATATCAATATTATTTAATGTTTTTTATTTTAGTTATAAAATTTTCATTTTCTATTTTATTTATTTATTGTTAATTTAAAAAAGAAAAAAAATTTTTATTTAATCTATATACTTTTTTTTAAAAGCAAAAATATAATAAATTGAATAAAAAATTTTATAATTGGCTTTTTAAACAAATTTTAACATATTTATATTTATATATTTAATAAATATATTTAAAATTGATAATATATTGATTAATTACTAGTTAATTAATAATTATCAAAAGTAATAATCAATAATTTAAAAAATTAATTTAAAATAAACATATACGTAATTAGCATTTTTAGTTAATTTAAAACTATTATAAAATTTTTTTTATTACAAACAAGCATTAAATGCGAAACTTTATTAAACAGAAGTTTATAGCTAAGATTTGTATTTTTATAAAATTTAATTAAAAAATTCATGTATTATAAAAAATATTTATTTTATTATATAATAATATTATTATTATTAAACAGAGATTAATATATACAGTATATGTATATAATTCTCAACAAATAAATACTTAACAGTAACTGGTAACATTGTTTTATTGGTTGATCACAGTATATAAAGGACATTTTTTAAATATATTTGAGTATTTGCATAAATGTTACTTCAACCTTGGTTGCAATCTTCGAAAGTTTTTTTATTTAACAAATGTGTCCAATATCGTAGTTGCGCACATGGCACACGAAGGTTCCTATCCAATACTCAGTCGCCAAATTCGCATATAGGTCGTAGAATTATAAGATATCCGTATAACGTTGAGATCAAACATGATCTGACACCGATTAGAAAACCACGCGTTAAAGCTGATTTGAATTCGACAACATTGATGGTATCAGGGCCATTAGGCACACATTCTTTACCAATTAAACCATACATCAAAATTAAATTTATCGACTCAGATATGCCGTACGTGTCGCCCGAGGAACGAAAACTCGAGAAACTCACTTCAAACGATGATGATGATTTAGACTTCATCGATGAGAGTGATTTTGACAAAAAACTATCGATATCTATTGAAGACGAACAAATCAAAGAGCAAAAGGCTATGTGGGGTACTACAAGGTCCTTGATTGCAAACTACATTACAGGAGTTTCCGAAGGTTACCGAGTTTTATTGAAGTTTGTTGGCGTAGGGTACAGAGCCAGCTTAGAGGAAGATCCTCTTTCAGAAGAAAATCGGAAACAACTTCATCTAAGAGTAGGATATTCTCATCCCGTCATCTTAGACATTCCTTCTGGTATTGAATGCCGCCTACCTAGTTCGACGAAAATCGTCCTAAGTGGGACAGATAAGCAATTAGTGACGATGTTTGCATCAGAAATAAGGAAATATAGGCCGCCAGAACCTTATAATCAAAAAGGAATTTTCATTAACGATGAAACAATTAAGAAGAAGAATAGCAAGAAAAAATAATAAACTGTGCAGCGGTTAAATAGTTGAGTTTTAAGTTCACTTGAAGTTAGATCTTCAAAGTCAATAATTCAATAATAAAGAGTATAGCCTATATTAAACTTTAGTCATTTACCGATGTTCTTATATTTATTGATCCTTCTATATTTATTTAAAATATGTAAATAAATAAATAATAGGTTTAATGTAATTTGTTTATGACTACTAATTAATTATTTTTTTTTTAAAAAAAGATAAATGTTATTTCTTTATTTTATTTGTATATTACATGATATACGTTTTGAAAGAAACAATATCTCTTACATGTATTTACAGTAAGTTAAGTGTTAGCTTACTTACGGTAATTATTGAAAATTTTTAAACCAATACAGTTGATTAAATAATGTCAAACAATTAAAATATTTATTTAGAATTAAGTGAAATTGAGTAGTGAAAGTTAGAAATAAGATTGAATATATATTTAACAATAAGTATACAAAAGAAGTCTTAATACTTGTAAATAATAAAGTATTTGTTATATTGTACCTTGATTTTCAAATAAGATTATATATAAGTAATAAAGTTTTAAAAAATATTTTAATTCAATTATTAATATTAAATATTGAAAAATATTGAACATAATTTTATATATTAATTCAATTACATATAAAATGTAAATAATAAATAAAAACTGCTATTTAATAAAAAATATATTTAGAATAATAAGAATCTATATATAATTATAATATAATTAATAAAAAAATATATTAATTATAAAACCTATAAATCAATAATATAATAAATAATGCTTTCAGATCTTCAAATACAAGATTTCTAGTTTGGTATCTATAAAAAGCAAAATATATTTATTTATTTTATATATTAGATTATCAAAATTCAATTAGGTTATATAAAAATAAAATCTTTGATTTTTCTAATAATTATATAAAAAAAAACTTTTTATTTAACTTTTATTATAAGTTTATATTTTTCTTTGATATAATTAGAACTTCTAACGATACTATTTCGATACCAGTTTGATACTTAAATTTACTATAAAAACATATGAGTAGGTTACAACCCATATATTAAATTTACT